AGGGGGAAGCATCGAAAGCCGAAGTGCGGAACTTTAATCCGCTAAACCTAACCTACTCCCAACTCAAGACTCTCCCACGGAACCACCTGATTAAGTATTACTTCGTGGGAGTGATAAGACATTTAAGTCTCCTCTATAGTACGGACTGACGAACGCCTAATCTGTTCCATATGTCTTAGTTTTGTCATGATTGAAGCTGCCGCTTCCCTCACAGCTTTCCAATTCTCACTGGACTGACACATAAGTGTCGTCAAGTTTTCCACCATAAAACTACCACCGAGTGAAGTTTTAAGTTTTTCCCTTGTACTCGAAAAGCGAGGGCAATAAAAGAATACATGCTCAGAGTCTTCTATGCACTCTGTACACATCGGACAGTTCGGACTAACATCATGATGGAATCTGTACAGGTAGCTTCTAAAGCACCCATGTCCGCTTAATATTTGGGTAAGGTGGAAATCCAGGTCCCCATGTCGTCTGTCTATCCACGGGTGGATGTCCGGTATAAGTCTGTGGGTCCACCGTCCTTTGAGTGAGGTTTGCCACCGCTGCTGCCATATTGATAAGCTTTTGACTCTCTCTGCTCTTTTGGCTTCTAAAGACGACTCTGGTAACTTGTATACTCGCCCGAATTCGTCACCCTGGATGTCAATGGGCATCATACTGGCTATTACTTCCGCAGCCTCGCTGGATATCGTTCGGAAAGCACTGATTACTCTAAGTGCCGACAGCCGGTGCACTGAGTTTATTAGTTTGGCATATGCTTTAACGTTTAGCGCCTGGATCCATATTGGGGCCGCATATAATACAACCGATCTCATTACCTTTGCGAGTAAAAATCGCCGGCTGGAACGCACGCAGCCTTTATTTGCCATCATTCTTGATAAGGCGTTGAGGATTTTGCTTGCTTTACCAGAGGTGTATTCTAAGTGCTCCTTAAATTTAAGCTTAGAGTCTATTATTACTCCCAGATACTTTAGTTGTGGCTGTGATTGAATCTCACACTCCCCTATGGTGAGAGATATTCGTTCCTCCACTTTCCTAGTACTTATTAGCAGGACTTCTGTCTTGTGCTCGGCCAGAACTAAACTCCTTGAGGAGAACCATTGCCGCAGACTATTGACGCATTCATTGCATTTGCTCCGGAGGTCATCAAGATGTTTAGACACTGCTACCACTATAAGATCATCAGCGTATGCGACTAATTTAACGGCTTCTTGTTGGTTTATTCTTAGCACCCCATCATACATCACGTTCCATAGAAGGGGGCCTAAAACCGAGCCTTGCGGTACTCCACTCGTAATAGTGTAGGTCTTGGTGCCTTCATCAGTGTCAAATATTAGTTGCCTGTTTTCAAAATAACTTGTAATAATGTTTACCAGATATTGAGGAGCGCTTATCTCATGCAGAGCTTTGATTATGTTTGCCCATTTTGCTGAGTTGAAGGCATTCTTCACATCCAGGGTGATCAGGGCGCAGTATTTTTTAGTCCCGCCTTTCCATCTTTTTCCACTTACTGCGCATTTCGCGGTGCCAACGACATCGTTTAGTGCGTCAATAGTGGACCTCTTTTTTATAAAGCCGTATTGTCTTTCTGATAATCCGCCGGTTTTCTGGATTGCTAACTCCAAGCGGTTTCTTACTATGCTTTCGAACACTTTGCCAATCGTGTCAAGCATGCACAGAGGTCGATATGATGAGGCTTCCTCCGGAGGCTGATTTGGTTTAGGTAGTAGAACCAATCGCTGAACTTTCCATGGGTCGGGGAATATTTCTTCTTTTAAGCATGCATTGTACATTTTTACGAACACATTTGGTTTTAAACTTATGGCTTCCTTTAAGGCTCTATTTGGTATGCCGTCTATACCAGGCGTGTGAATATGAACTATTGTAGGCTACTTCTTCCTCCACTTCTATGTCAGTGCGCTTAGCCTTGGTGCAGCGTAAGTACCTGATAACGCTAGGAATTTGAGTAGAAAACAAAAGAATAAGTCTAAAACAGGCTTTCTGAAATTCATTCAAGAAGCTAAGTTAGATGTATGTGCAAATTCGAAGTTGATAAAAAGGGGCTCACTCACGACAATGGCAAGTGAAAACGATCGTGGTCGAATCGCCATGAGCCGGCGATAGCGATGGCCAAGTCAGCAATGACGGTCAGAAAGACGAAAAAGGTTCTTCTTTCGAACCTATACTGTCAACAATTGGGCCGTTTGAAGCAAGCAATCTCCCAGAAGCAGCCAGTTTTGGTCAATAGGAGGGGAATTGTGTTCCAACAGTACAACGCCCGATCATACACATCGATAGTGACTCGCTAACACCAAAAGGGGCTTCAAATAAAGTGATCTATACAAGGCGACACGGGAGATCAGAAAACGATTAGCGAATTGTGGTAAAATCTATAAAAAGCTAGCAGGCGCTTATAAAATAAGACCAATTGAAGACCTCATGAATATTTCAAAGTACAACAACAATAAAAACAAAGAATAATAAATACTTGTATGTTGATGATTTATAATATCGTTAATTTACGACTAAGAACTCATGGCTGTTAGACTATCTTGCTAACTTCGTAGAAAAATTTTTTGAAATAAATTAAATGTTTATTATCTCTAGCATACGAATACACAAATTTATACACAGAATACAAATACTCGTATAACAACAAAAGCCTGAAAATGCTCGATATATTATACATGCCTATTAAAACAAAAGCAACAATTAAATGGCATTATTTACCGCAAAGCCCGCAAAAGGGTGGAAAACCAATTGTGCTCGAATGGATTGTTGTTATTGCCTTTATTTTAATTGCATGGCGCAATTATTGTTATTGGCTTTGTAATTGTACTTATATGTAAAGAAAAAAGCCCATGCAGAAATTGTGGAATATATTATAGACAAACAAAATTTTTTATGAATAAATTGTGTTGGATTAATTAATAAGATTTGGATGCAAGAAAGGAAATGTTGAATTTTTCTTTAAAAAATGTTTTTGTTTTTGAAAATGATTAAGTTTTTTGAAATATAAATTTTTTGTAAAGAAAACTTAGCTAAGCTATCTGTTTATAGAATAACGGGTAATCCAAGTAGTGTTACTTTTTTCAATAGCTTTTCAATATGTGTGATATTTCAGTGAGTGTGTTCTTAACCACCAGCTCAATATAATTGACGAAAATATTTTTTTTTTAATATAAAATTTGGTAACACCTGAAATTATGCCCACGGCTTTGATATTTGAAAATTGTAAGAGTATAAAATGTTCGGTTACAGCCGTGCTTTGCCCTTCTTTACTGGTAAACCTACACATATTTTCCATACTGGCCGCTTAATTTAACTTGCAATGCTAGAAAACTTAATTTTCGCACAGTTGTGCACACAATCAATTTTAAAATAGCAACTATAACAACAACAAAAACAACAGCGTAAGGGTTGCAAAAATTACTTTGAAGTCTGATTGGCAAGTAAATTATCGCTTAAAAATAGGTACGAACACATACACTAAAAATATAATAATCCCATTGTTTAGCGCACTTATATAAATATATGTACTTACGTACTATATGTAGTATATATTATAACGTATTGTATCTACACATGTTGATTAAAAAACAAGAAAAACGCTTTATATATACTATGCTTTAATAATCTGATCTAAACCGTTTCTCCGGAGATAGCACCATTGCCTTAGACAATAATCCATGCCAAATTTCTGGAAGCTATCTCGTGAAAGAGAAAAGCTTTGCATACAAGCACTTTTTTCCGATCGTTCAGTTTGTATAGCAGCTATATCCTATAATGGTTCGAGATACGGTAAATATTTTTTCACCTTTCACTATTTTATCATTATTTTCTGGCTTTGAAGTGGAGCGAAAGCTCATCAAAACGTACCTTTGAATTCAGTTTCATTATTCTTGTAGACTATGAGCAAAATTCACACGCAGTTCATTGAAGAGGTGATGAATGCGACGACAGCATTCTGCCAAACTGGAACGATTACATTAATCACAACAGGCGTGCCTCTATCTTGAGCAACAGAGCGAAAGCTCCGTTTGAGCTTTCACGTGTGCAGTTGAGCAGCTTTTGTGCTTTTACGTGCACAGTTTAGATCAAGTTATACTAGATATATCAAAAAGCAAACAGTTGACCAGGCTTTGTGCTTACACTTGCTAACAACGAATTATAAAGCAAACGAGATTCCTGAGGAATTTCGTAGAGGATATCTAAGCGCTTTCGCAATAACGCTTTGTGAAAATGAGCAGTAGCTTGATTTCTTGACAGCAACAAAAAACAGGAATGGCAAGTAATAACTATAAACGCACGTTTTACGTTTGTGTAAGTATTTGCCATTACTTTCAAAGGGTGCCAAACTAGCAAGCAATTTGTTAGTCACATTCTTTCTAATGTTTTCACATTCTTCACAATTGCCTCAAATTCTGCTGAAATGCGCAAGAGCTTCCATCAAAAATTTGCATTTTATTAAATGCCAACGCTGCTCATGGCGTAAAGAGCGAACAATCATCCACAAAAAGGATTGTAAAATCAGGACGAAACCAATGCAGAAGAAAACTGAAGAACGTGACATTTGCCTTTTATACGAAAATTTTAATTTCGATTTTCAATTAAACACCAATGGCAATTTCCACAAAATAAACTTTCGTCGCTGCTTTTGTTTCCCAACAGTATGGCATACACGCGCTTGTCATGCATGCCAGGCGGTGTAGGCGGGGTAGGCGCACTGCTTTATGCGATCCCACTAAGAAATCGATAAAGTGCACTACGCGTTTGGGGGATTCGTTAAGTTTGCAATTGTGACGGCGTTGACAATTACATGCGCACTTGAAGCGTAACATAGCGCCGGCGGCCATCATGTCACAACCACAGCATCACCATTTTGCTGCTCATATTATACCCGGCTCGCTTTATATAGCTCACATTGATTTTTACACTAGGCTAGATTTTGTACAATACTTACAATACTCATTTGGTTGCCATTCGTTTACTTGCAGATTCTCCTCTACCCGGAAGAGGGTTGGGCGCGTACAGCCTCCTCCAGTTACTGGACCATTACACCTTGTTGGTGGCAACCGAATCGCTGTCGCATCGAAGAGTTTACCGGCACACAACGGCAATCGACCAAAGCCAAAATGATGCCGCTCGAACAGAAGGGTTCGCTACTCATCGCTGGACATTTTCGCAGCAAAAAGTCATTGACTGGCGGCAGTCCGTTGGGCGGCCGAACTTGTATGGATTGTGTTGCTGATGGTGATGGTGGTGTTGGTGTTGATGGTGCGGCTGCTGGTAAAGAGCAGGAAATTGACGAATTCAAACTGTATCTGACTTCGAATATCTCGATGGAGGACTACAATATGGGCTATTGTTTGACCGGTTTCGTGGAGCGACGCTGCCATCAAACCAACACATACCAAATGACCCACTTCGCCGTCATCAAACGGCAATGGCCGTCCATTAGCAGTGCAGATGCAAAGTCAACGTAATTAAATCAAAAACTTTTACATTATATTTATTTATACATAGTGCGAGGTACTTACAAAGTTTGAACGGCAAAAGTGTGCGCAAGTGTAGTATGTTTGTATGTGTTTAGCTTTGTAAGCCATGTAGAGATAATTGAGATTAAGCTAAGTGTTGGCATAGCTTTAGAGAATTAAATAGGCAGAGTTGCAAAGTACGATACGTTGTTAAGTAGTAGTTTTAGGCAAAGGCAGTCTACTTTTAGGCGCTAAACATGCAGCAAACGACAGTCGTCCTTAAATATGCACCGACATTGTTATTCGTTACTGCTATGCGGGCATGCAAATAATTTGAAATTTATGTAAAATCCTTTTTTGTTCTATCAAACACTACTTGACAGCTATTTTGTGTTAAAACAATCGAAAATTTACACAAAATTTAACAATGCTTGAACAAACTGCGGCATGCCAATACTGAATATTAAAAATCTGCCTGCAAGCGCGTAAAATCACTATTTTTCATTTCATTTTACAATGTAATCGTATTGAAAAATAAAAAAATAACAAAATTTTCAACGAAAAATAAAAACGCCAAATGTCACAGCATATCCGCAGGCGCTGCAGTTTTAAATTCATAATAATGACGCAGCTAAATATGAAAATATTTCAATAAAATCGATAGCACGTGGAAATAACATGGCAGATAGTGAATATGAGTTGCCACGCCCACTCTGCTGTGTCCCACTTTTGCCAATGCAGTTTAAGCGTTTATTTAATATACGTTGGCAGCGCTAAAATATTATTCCCGCTGCTGCTTCGAAATGTAACACGGACTGTTCATTTATTTATATTAAAAACGATACGAAAATAATCATTTTTTGAATATTAAACCTAAAAAAAGAAATTTTCAGTTTATGTGAAATCGCTTTAAGTGCATTCACGTGAAATTTATAACCAACTGTAATTATTTAAAAATGTGTGCTTAATATGAAGAGCAATAGAAAGGACAAGCAGTTATTTTTAAAATATCCAATCAAATTTATTGGACAGTTTTTCAAATATTTTTATAAACGTGAGTTTTTTTAGACATGTGGTTTTGAATGACCTTTTTCTGAATTGGTCTTTTTGACAGCTGTTACTTGATTTATACTCAGTTTGGTTTGACATTTCGTAATGAACAGACTTACTACGGAATAACGTTTACAAATCCTGTAAATTTTTTACCAAAATATTGCTTCTAGCGCTACGACCATTTTTCGAAGGTACCATTTTTTTCGAAGATACCACTTTGACCGCTTATAGCACCTGTCATATAAGCTTGGACAAAAAATAATATACACCATGGAAATGAGAGGAATACTTGGTTGTTTTGGAAAAAAACTTACATGCTGTAACTAATAATTGTGTTTTTGAAAAGCTCAGTTTCGAAATTCGAAGACAAATATCTTGATTTTTAGCGCCATTTTTGAAAAACGGGGTAATTATATAAGATACTGCATCGAAATGAGAGGAAAACTTGGATGTTGCCAAGGACCTTAGTACATGCTGTAAATAACAGTTGTGTTTTCAATAAGCTTTGTTTCGAAATTCGAAAAACGGAGAAATTATTCTGTTTATTTATTTTGGACTTAATTTGTCGAAAAAAATTGGTTTGGTCCAATGCCCAACCGAGTGCTTTACAGCGTAATGATGATAATAATTCGAATTCGAGTTCGAACTTTTATTGCATTCAAATTGCGATTCTTAAAAGCTCCAATTTGATATGTTAGTATGCAAAACCATTTATGAGTGTCGTTTGTGTTATTAAAGCTTTCCTTTTACGAAAAAAGGGTGTTAACATACAGACAGAAATTGTAAATTTATAACATTTTTTCTAACTTTCATTTATTTTTTACTTGGCTAGCAGGCCAGCAATGAACACAAAAATTCGTGGCATTGCTCGCATGCCAGCAGGAAGTGTTGATTTAAGCTCTTTTGCACAGAACCATAATCAAATGCGAAGATTGCCTGCCAAGTGAAGTGTGATATTGAAATTTGCCAATAAACGATTGAGTCGCACTAGAAACTGTAAATGAGAGAAATACACATGAAATCGTTTGTAGCATATAGAAAGTAGGCAATAGCGTATGCGCAGATAAATGTCACGCAGCGCAAAAAAAAAAATTATGCTTCAAATGTGTATAGCTTCAAAAATGTAAAAATTTTGGTTTACTAAGTTTGCCATGAAGTTTGTAATAACCAGAAGGAATAGTCGGATACTCTACAAAGTATATAGTCATACCTATATATACATGTACAATAAGTCTATCTCTCTGTATATACGTGTAGCAATCTAAACTGTTTTGCAAATATCGATCTGAAATTTTTTACACGTCTTTTGCTCCCAAAGTAACTGCTCATTGGTCAAAACCGACCATTATAAGTTATAGCAAAACTGTTTTATTTCGCACGATATCTTCACGAAATTTACCTTAGATTATTTTCCAAGCCAACGCTACATTCTCCCAACATACAGTTCAGATCGGAACACTATAGCATATAGTCGCCATACAAACTGATCGATCAAAAGCAAGTACTGGTATGGAAAACTTTTCTATTTGACGTGATATCTTCACGAAATTTGGCGTGGGTATTTTTTAAAGGCATCGCTACAGTCTCCTAACATATTGTTCAGATCGGTACAATATTACATATAGCTGTCATACAAACTAATCGTTGAAAATGAAGTCCTTGTATGGAAAACTTTTTGGTTTGACGAGATATCTGCACGAAATTTGGCACGAATTATTTTCCAAGGCAATGCTATAATTGCCGAACATATCGTTCAGATCGAACCGTTATTGCGTATAGCTGCCATACAAACTGACAGACTAAAATCAAGTACTTGTATGGAAACATTTTTGTTAAAGTCTTTTTTTGTTTTTCTTTTTTTATGTTTTCGTCAACTATTCGTGGAAATTCAAATACGACTTTTACCAACAACATACCCGCATAGTAAGAAAGAAATACAATTTGTGCAAAGATTTGCTTAAGAAACCAGCAATTAAAAAAAAACACACACACACACAAAAAGCATTGCAGCAAGCATTTTCTAGTATTTACACATACATATGTACATCCAAAGGCTAACTTTATATCTTAATGTACTCGTAGTAAACCGTAGACGCTATAAAACAAACTAACAAATTAACATATATTATATATGCAAATGAAGACTTTATTAGAAACCAAAGAGAATACTGTCCAACTGTGCTAGTGCAACGCGAGAAGTTCAAGCAGAAGAATATATCAAAATTTCGTCCATTAAATTGGAGCGCGAACACAATGGCAACACTGCAAACGCATCACCAACACCGCCACAACAACAACAACTCCTTGCAAACACTACGCTTCACTACCTCACCGCTAAACGCTCGCACCTACGGCGACCTTACCCGACACACACCGCACCGCGCTACAACACACTCACCAACGACAACAACAACAACCAAAACATGCGTTCGACACCCAAAAGCACACAGCGTTGCATTTTGCCAGACAAATCCGCTCCAATTAAATACCTTAATAAGCGTAAAATTAAAACTTCAATCAAAATAAAGAAAAAAAAAACAACAAAAGCAAAAACAAAAAGAAATGCAAATGCAAAAACAAAAACAAAGCTACTCGCAACTAACTATGACTAACGATTAATCAAAATCTTTATAATTATTTGTCGCAAAAAATGCGCAACATAAATGATGCCAGCAAATAAGCAGATAATTAAAAAGTAGAAATGTCAACTTTTGTTAAAAAGAAAAAAACAATGAAATTAATTTTTTTTATGTGCGCATATGTATGTTACGTAGAAAAAAAAAATTTGCTTATACCACTGTCAATGTGTATGTGACGCGTGCACAAACACACAGCATACAACGTAGTCGGCTTAAACAGTTAAAACCACACATATACACATTTACATATAAGTATATTATACTACATTTATTTATATATATATTATATATAATGTGCTTTCGTATGAAATTATGTATTTTTAGGCTTATACGCCTGTTTGTATGTAGTTGCCATTTGCCAATTTGTATTCGTGTTTATTATATGCATAAGTATGTGTGTGTACGTGTAAGCGCTTTGTGTAATTTTATAGCAAACATAAAATCAATTTAAAAATAGTAAATAGCAAACAAGTTGCGACAAAAACCAAGCATTCAGTGTCAGTACCTGCAAATATTCAGAATATATTGTAAAGTAAAATGAAAATGATTGAGTCAGTTTTAACGCTCAGTTAAATTAAGATATTTATGTAATTAGCTACTATAAACACGTGTATTTATTATTGAAAGTAAGCTTTTTTTCACAGTTTGCAATACGCAACCAAAATTGGTTTTGAAATCAAAGCTGTAAAAGTTTTTATCATTTCAGCAAAAGTACTTATATATTTTCAAATTTTTGCTGGCGAAAACCATAATATTAATTTCAAAATTGTTTTTAGTAAAATTAATTAATTATAATTATTTTAATAATTAATAACTTAAATAATTAAATCAAATTAATTATGATAAATTATAATTATTAATTATTTATTTTTAATGAAATTAACTTATTAATTAATTATGATTACTAATAAGTAGTAATTATTTATTTTTAATTAGATTCAGTTATTAATTAATTAATTAAGTATTTTAATTAAATTAATTACTATAATTTGCATTCGGTAATTAAATTAGAGTAATTAATTAATAATTAAACAAAATAAATTAATTAACTAAATTAAAGTAAAATTAAAGTTTACTTAATTCTATTAATTATTAATTAAAAATAGAATTGAGTAAATTTAATTTTTACTTAAATTAAATACTTTTTATTAATGTTAAGTTTTACTTCATTAAAGTTAATAATTTATTAAAGAATATAACTAAGTAAAATTTTAGTGTAATTAATTACTTCAATCTAGTTATTTAACTTCTTTAATTTAATTAAATAAAAGTAATTAATTAATTTAAATAATTGATTTAATTTATTTTATTTT